GTATACTTAAAGTTACATCGTATAACGTTAAGTGCCACGTACTCGTTACGAGTTTGACGTTCAACATTAACATTTAAATTAACGTTTAAGGCCCATTTTCAATAAGTTACGGACCCCTGCTGTTTTGACGTGTGGGCTGCTCAGCTGAGGTTCAGGTTTGTGACTCGGAGGAGAGGGGTCAATATTTGCGAAATGGGATACGTGTGGGCTGTTTGTGTGTGCTCGCGCTCGCGCGCGCGCGCGCGCGCGCGTGTGTGTGTGCTGGTCCTGGGCCGCGGCCGCGACCCGCGACGACGGCGCTGCCGAGGGCGAGGGCCTCTTCTCTTACCCGAGGCGCGCGCCCCCCGGGCTGCTCCGCGGCGCCCTTGTCCTGCCCGCCAGCGCTCCTGTGCGAACTCATCCTACCGCGTCGGGGGGAGGGGGCGTCCGTAAGCGAAATGCAAGCACGTCTCGCTCGCTTGCACACGCGCCAACCTTTACGCACACTCGCACAACATCCCCACTCCATTCCACGCCACCCTGCTCGGCCCAGACGAGCTGAGCAGGATCAGGATCCTCGACAACTCTAGCCTCGCGGCGCGGGGGGGCGGCGGCGTTGGGGGCGGGGAACGGCTGCGGCTGGGCGGCGCGCGGGACAGCCGAGGCTGGCGGGCAGCGTCGGCAGCAGCCGGCCGGCGGCGGCGGTGCGGGGGCGCGGGGAGGAGGGGCCCCGCCGGCTCTGCCCCTGCCGCCGCCCAGCCCGGGCTGGCAGCCAGCCCACTGGTGCTTGTTGCTAGGTGCCATGCCGCCTGGCTGCGCCTGCTGCGCCTGCTGCGCCGTGCTCCGCCCGGCTCTCTCGCCTTGCTGCCCAGCTTGCCCCTCCTTGACTGAGCGAGTGCCATCGGCTCCTGTCACGTGATCGATGAGTCGACGCGTCGATAAAAACAGTGCATCACGCGCCCGATTGCATTCGGCCGAGCTTTGTTTTGGGAGGACGCGAGGACGCGCGATGAGGACAGCGAGACGGCGAGTGACGCAATCAATGCAAAGTTTGGCGCCCGGTTGGCGTGGCGCTCCGACTCCAGTCATCGCCTCTCGCGATCTTGTCCCTTCCCCCCGTGTTCCCCTTCGCCCTGGCTTGTCGGTTTGCGGCGGTGCAGTTGCAGCCCACTTCGTATTAATGACGGGGTAAAAGGGCCACATGGTGGCATAACGTTGGCATGCGTGGCGGGGCGGGGGCGGCGGCGGAGCGGGCTGGGGCGGGGAGGAAGTGAGGGTTGAGGGGGCGTCCCTGAGCGCGCTGCCCCGCCCTGATGGTGCTCGGCGGCCCCGGTGCTCTCCTTCCCACGCGGCCGCTCGGCCCGCCCGTGTCCGGCGGGAGTAGGCAACCCTCCGGCAGGGCTGCGCGCCGGGACTGCCCGCCTCGCAGGGGCCCGGGCTGCCGGGCCGGCCGGTCGGTCGGCGGCCTGGCGGCGGCCTGGCGGGGCGGGGCGAGGTGAACTCGCACTTGTTCGACTCCTTGAGCAGCGGGGGCCCCGGCCGGTTTGCTTCTGCGGCGTTAGAGACTCGGCGCACCTCTCCTTGCCTGTCTGGTGATTAGCACCTGTTTCCTGAGGTGAGGGCGCCTCAAACCATACGTGTGCGGGCTGAGCTGGGCTGGGTTGGGCTTCCTCACTACGTACGGACCGTTCCACACCTCTCCGTCTCCTCCCACCCCTTCCCTCTCTCCCTCTTCCTCTGTCTCCCTCCGTCTTCCTCTCTCTCCCTCCCTCTCTCCCTCTCTCCCTCCCTCTCTTTCCCTCTCCTTCCTTCTCTCCCTCCCTCTCTTTCCCTCTCCTTCCTTCTCTCCCTCC